TATCTATCTATCTATCTATCTGTCTATCTATCTATCTATCTATCTATCTATCTATCTATCTATCTATCTCCACCGCCCCGTCTGTCTGTCTGTGTGTCCACCCATCCGTCTGTTCTTCCAACTGTCTGTCCGTCCGTCCGTCCGTCCGTCTGTCTGTCTGTCTGTCTATCTGTCTGTCTATATGTCTGTCTGTCTGTCTGTCTGTCTGTCTGTCTGTCTGTCTGTCTGTCTGTCTGTCTGTCTGTCTGTCTGTCTGTCTGTCTATTTTTCTCCCTTACACAAATCAATAGCTCAACCAAAACAACCCTGATGTTACGTCAAAGAGATAACGTGATAACAAACTGAGACTTACCATCCTGACAACAAATATCAGTGCACCCAGTGACCCCGTCAACTTCGAGCTCTGACACTGTAGGCGTGGTTAAATTCTTCTGACTGAACATTGATGTGGGGTCAGCGACGGGAAGCATGCAGTCACTGGCACACTGGACTAAGGTGGACAGACTTGTCACACCCAGCACGAGAGAAAGAAGAGCAGTTGTTGGCTGGCTGAAAGTCATCGCTGGACGTCCAGGAGATCTATTTAACAACACACAAACAAACAAAAAGAATGATTGCAATTAGCGCTCAAAAGTTAGGACGTCTGCTGACTAGATGATGCATTATTGTTTTGTCTATATTTTTTAAAAAAAATTGTTTTCCTCATTTAAAATACACTAGCTGGGTCCCCTTTCGATGAAAGGAATGATCGGTGCATTAACATCAACTGAAAGTCTCTGGCCTACTATATTTGCACTCTACTGGAATGGAGCAATAAATCCTGAGAGATGCAAAATATTAGAGGGTTTAGGTAAAGTGATGTATAGATTGATTCTCTATTCCGCTTTCGCGGTTGTACACTCCCGAATTTCAAAGGTATGGAAACAGTGCGAACGGCTATTGAACGGAACCTCACTTGTTTACAATGGCGTCTTAGAAGACGGACTTTCCCAAGATTAGATCAAAACGAAACTCATTAAAAACTGAAAATTAAACTACACTGACTTCAGGCTCTTCAATAGAACTGTGCACCCTTTAAATGATTCTGAACCACCATTAATTTGGTCAAATTCGAAAATTAAGGGGTTTCAAAGTTTTAGGCTGCCAAAGTGACGAACTTTCAGAAATATAATATGTACATAGATTCATGCTTGCTTTACTAAAACTGTATAATCACTATATCAACCATTTCTTCTTTTCCTAATATTATGCTGGTAGATAGGATCTAATGTATCCTTGTATTTTGAAAACCGTTCTTCTTATGCTGAAAATGCGAATGTATACATAACATTTCAAACCAGACTTGTTACGAAAAAGCTGGCTTTCAATTTGTAAGAATTAATAAAGAACAATAGACAATAAATAGATAGCACTTATATAACACAAGCTCCGGCTCAACAGAGAGCTCCACGGGCTTTACAATCTATTATTTATTATTCCAGGATATCTGATAGCATTCTGAAACTATCTCAACTTTTTGGGAAGCATACGATTAGAGAAAAAAAAGTTAAAGGAAAGAGTTCATATTGCTTTTGAAACTAACAGACTCTTTTTTGTTAAACAATTATATATGTCCTGTAACGTAGTGGATTGCCCAAGTACTACGCCCCTCCATTCAGATCTCAATAATAATAATAGTAATAATAATAATAATAATAATAATAATAATAATAATAATAATAATAATAATAATAATAATAATAATAATAATAATGATAATAATAATAATAATAATAATAATAATAATAATAATAATAATAATAATAATAATAGCATTAATATAGCGCATACCCCCCCAAAAAATAATAATAATAAAAATTAATAATAATAATAATAATAATAATAATAATAATAATAATAATAATAATAATAATAATAATAATAATAATAATAATAGCATTTATATAGCGCATACCCATGCTTTGCAGCATGCTCTATGCACTTTACAACAACTTTTGTTACCCCAGCAGACCTCAGAACACTCAAAAACATTCTCGGCTTCCGGGGAAGCATGCAGTGCAAACTGCGGATTTCACAAGCTGAAACACAATCAAACTGACAAGACCGTTCCCCGTCTACAACCGGGTAGCCATTTCCACCTATATGAAGTGAGGAAAATTCGCGCAAAGTGCTTTTTTCAAGGACACAACGTCGGGCCCCTAACGGGATTCGAACACTTTTCCCCTATCCCACTTATATCGAGAAAAAAAGAACAATAACAAGAAAGAGAGAGAGAGGGAGAGAGGTGGTCGATTTAAGGTATCGAATGGTAATCGGTTACATTGTGTATTGCAAATATTGGATTTAAAGAACTGGTAGATAAACTCGTATCTGAAGAAATTAAAAAACAACAACAACATCCCCCCCCTCCCCAGAGTAGCAAAACGAATACGTGGGATGAAACTGGGAGCACTGGAACTGGTACTCTAATCGCACTTTTGATATATAATCAACCAAGCAATAATATTTTGAAGAACAAATCCGACATAATAACACATGTTTCCCAAGTGGGCTTACTCTTAGTTCAACATCTTGATTCTTGGCAAACTGTTCTGTTCACATTCCTTTGACACCTACCTTGTCACATGCAAGAACCATACATCTATATTGTGATCAAAATTTCGTGGCGTTACTTATACTCAAATATTTCTTCTTAACTTTAACTGGTGAATCAGTGTAGCTCATACTTTGTTCAGCAGTTTGTATGAATTTGTCTATACTTAATCATAATTATTTGCCCACAACAATTGGGGCTAGATTAAAAAAAAGAAATTGTCTGCGTAAATTTATAGAGATCTAAAAATATACCATAAATCTCTGTCACGCGGAAAATGGGATTGTTCACATCATTTCCCCCTTCTCAAACACATTTTGAATACGCATACAGCCTAAGTCACAACACTTTTTAGGGACAACACTTGTAACAAGAAAATAATTTTAGAGAACACTTTTTTTACACAAAAGGTTCTCAAAACATGCGTTCAAGAAGCATAATGTCGAGGTAAGAACCCCCCCCCCCCCCAGAATTGCTTTAAATAGCAATAGTGTCACAGCTGTAAACCTTTTATAGTCTGTAGAAACCACCCACTAAGATTTTTAATGAGTATTTATTAAAGAATTTTCTAGAATACAGCTAACAGGTGTTTACAAAAATATTGATATGATATAAGTTGTTGTTCAAAAGCTGGAGAGTCTATGTTCGATAGTCTAGGAAATATTAGACAATAAGTGACGTCACGAATGAGAAAAAGGAGAAAGAAGAGGAGGAGGAGGAAGAGGAGGAGGAAGAGGAAGAAGAAGAGGAAGAAGGAGAGGAGGAGTGG